AGCACTTAGTTTAGTCTCAAACCGTCGGGGAGATCTACCCTTCTCAGTAATTAATTTTAAGATAACTGAAAACTAACCTACACTGACTGTGTCCTTGTAAACTATTACTGTCATATGTATTTAAGGAGATGGGTGTTTTCAGTCTATGATTTTATTAGACAAAAAATCAAGGGAACGACCATTATAATAAATTTCAAACTGATTTTTCTTATAAAGTATAAATGTGCGAGAATTTCTTTAACATCATAGAAGATTTTGAGTTAATAGGTAAATCTATATACCTAGTTTAAAGTAGATCATTCTATTTTTAAAATTAACCTTATAATGGTTGAAGGTTTAAATACTTTTTTTTTTAAATCGAAGCATTGAGCAACTGTGGACTTACAGATCAAATACTACAAGTGCAACTTAACGATAATTTCGAAACCAAGGGACATGATCTTCACAATTGTAAACAGTAAGTATTATTTCTTTTAAAAAAAATTCTTACTTATTGCCAGTGATTCTTTATATTTTATTTTATTGTGTATATTTAATTATTGTCTATGATCATTGTCATCAGCATTCATGTATATGTTCTAAGTTTCTTTGTTCTTTTTTCATGAATGGTGAAATTGGCTAATTTAAGATAACATTGAATTTGAAATAATACTAGATCTAGGGCCTATTCGAGTAAATAAAGTATCTTAAGCAGATAGGCAACAAAAAACGTCACTTTCGTGACGAGCCAAGATAGCTAAGGTGGTAGTGTAATAGGCTACCATGCCGGTGGCACGGGTTCTAGACACATGTTAATGAATTTTTTTTTTCGATGTAAATGATAAAGTTGCCTATCGGAACTGGGCGGGATACAGGGCAGGTGAAGTAGAGTTCACCTAATGCTTTGTCCTTAGCATTTGACTTGGATAGTGTAGTCAGAGTATTATGATCGCTATGTGACAGCCGCATATCAGATCGTTTAAGTGTAGTTATTGACAGATCCACTAGACAGTATGAACACAACAAAAACTACGTGGGCTCGTCAAAAACGATCTAGGGGAGTAGACACGTAGAAATGATGTGACTCATAACTAGGCGTAACTGTCAACTGTTTAATAAGTGTACAAGTATGGAAAAATGACACTTCGTCTAACCAAAATATAATAGAAACTAAGAGTAATAGTAATAAAAAAAAATCAACTTACAGCCGTCTCACAGTTAGTGAAATAAATCTCTAAACTAGATAACAAATATCACCGATGTGGCATTGGTGAGATAATACACCTAGGAAATAATAATCATTAAAAAAGTTTTAAAAAACCCACGTTTTCTGATTGAACTAAAAAGTAGAAAATAAATACTATACATCACAATAATGCAAGCGATCACTCTACTATAAGCGATGAAAAACGTGGGGCGCCGAAGTAAAAGTTATATTACTATTGATTAGATAATACTATTGACTTTTATTAGGGAGCTTGTAGAGAGTCAACAGTATAAGAAACTGTAAGAAAAATCACGGCGCCCCACGTTTTTGATAGCTTATAGTAGAGTGATCGCTTGCATTATTGTGATGTATAGTATTTATTTTCTACTTTTTAGTTCAATCAGAAAACGTGGGTTTTTTAAAACTTTTTTAATGATTATTATTTTCTACTTTTTAGTGTTTGTCTGTTTGTTTGCATGTAAATCTTGCTATCGATTTTATCTTTTCACTTTTTTTTTGGGTAAACGAAGACAACTCGTAAAAAGACAACTCGTAAAAAGACAACTCGTAAAAAACACGTTGTGTGAATACGTTACTGACTAGAACACATCGATTTGAACCCGTGTCGAGTGGGATAGCAATCGTGTGCCCAACCACTCGACCATATCGTCTCCCCCATACTGGCCACCAGTTGTTACGTTCTGGTTGTTTGTACACAAACACAGCGTGACAACTACTCAGTAAGCAAAAAGAGGGGGAGTACCGAATCTTGTTTTCATCAAATTACAGTTACTGGGTAATGTCCCTTTTTTCCCACGTTTTTTGTTACAATTATATAGCGGTCTAAAATGATCAATAAAATGTTTCCATGGATTAATTTAGTAATAAAAACAATAGAATATTCAATTGTCATCCAAAACAAAGCTTCCCTGAAAATTTCAGCGCGCTAGCTAACTGGGAAGTGCCAGAAATTTCGATCGCAAGATTGGATTGGAAAGACAAACAAACAAATAAAAAAACAAACAGAGAAAGCAAGTTAAAGAAAACGTGGGAAAATATTAGAAACACCCAATGGCGCTAAAAAAAACACCTATAATAAGGAAATCAAATGCCGCCACAAACTAAACAACTCAAAATGGCGTCACACACACACGGCACTCTCTGGGGTCAAAAGCTGCCCTGAGATTTCGTGTTCTGTAGTTTTTATACAAGAGCAAAACCAAGGGAGGTTACTTTAATGTCGTAAGACCATTGGTCGAGGATCTGCTAAGGATCGGAACAACCAATTAAAATCTCATCACACGACGTGACGGAGGAGTTCAGGTGACCGTACAACTCTCCCAAGGTCGATACTTAAACCAAGAAACTAATTTACATAAGGACAGAAAAGACCTAATTAGGTCACAAGAGCCATGCTCGGCCGAAATATGTTTTTAATTGATAAAAAATACAATCTGAGGAACACTGGACAGGTGAACTCTACTTCACCTGCCCCATGTCTTGTGAAGTCCCGATAGGCAACTATAGCATTCACAATTTTTTAAATTTGAAAAAAATGAACATTGACATGATGTGTCTCGAACCCTTACCACCCGCATGGTAACTATTAGACTATCAACTCAGCTATCTGGGACATTCAGAAATTATACAAAATTAGTGGTATAGTTTACATAGAGAGTCCGCGAAAAAAACCTAAGTTACGCGAATAGGCACTAATATTTCAAATTAAATTTTATCCCAAGTTAGCTAGTTCCATAGTTAAGCAACCAAAGATTTATATAAACCTTGGTATTTTTAAAAAACTTTTGAAAATTTAATTGCTAATTTATTTGATGTTTAGCTGGTGTGTAAAATGATTGTATAATGATCAGGGCCGGAGTTTAAAGAGTCTAAGTAATTTCACGTCATGCTATTATTGTTGGAGTATTTGCAAACTAATTACGCGCAAAGTTATTAGAACTGCAAAGGCTTCCTTAATAGTATAAAACAAATATTATATTAAATTCACTTACCCAAAAAAATACAATATCAATACAATACATTTCTTAATTTATAACAAAATATCTATGTAAACGAATACTATAATATCGGATTTTTGTTTGTTCTTAAAATAGTATAAAACATTATTTAAAAAATATTATTTTGAAAAGTTACCTCCCTTGTTTACTTTTTCACAAACAATTGTTTATATAAGAAAATACGGCATCTAGACAAATCTAACAAACCTTATGGGCTTTTTTTCCGACGGAAATAATGTTATTCTGTTACCCTCCAGGGTCAATCTACGACCTCACAAAATATTAGGGGGATCGTTCGGCAATTTATTTGTATATATCTCAAATAAGGAGAATTTCATTAGCCGTCATTCTTAAGCCCTCGTCGAGGGCTTTGGTTCTGACCAACAGTATTTTCATAAGGCACAGTCTTCTATAAAGGTACTTGCAAAAAATTAGCCACATATACAGAGGTTAAACATTAAAATGTGTTTTGAAGTTACCCTGTTATTGACATAAAATACAAAGATTCTATATATTATATAAGTTGTTTTCGTAATATAGTTCATATAAAGAGAATTTCCCTCGCGGTCACATTTTAGTCTGCAACGAGGGTTTGAGTCAAACTGACAGTTTTTCCATACTGCATAACCTTTTATCTAGTCGCATGCTAAATAGTAGCCAGATGAACAGATGATAAGTACCCTAAAATCTTTGTTGAAATTACCCCATTATTTTTAACATAAAATAAAATGATAATAGAGGGAAATACGACTTTTAGCCAATTTCTAGATGTTTCCTGGATATGGGGAGTTTTATCTGACACGTCTATGCTTTGTTCTATCATACAATATCAAGAGAGGTCGTTCTGCAAAAGTTTTTTTTCGTAATATTGCTCATGCTGACACGTTTTAGCCCCCGTCGATCGCTTTCAATGAAACCGACAGTTTTCTATTTAGCCTACCCATTTATCTAGGATCATGCAAAAATTAGCCAGATGAACAGACGATAAGTAGGCTACCTTATAATCGTTGTTAAAATTACCCTCTGTTTTTCACATAGAATACAAAAATTATACAGGGAAATACGACTGTCTAGTTTTGATCACTTTAGAAAGTTTTCCTAGATATGCGAGTTTTTTCTGACACAAAGTATCAATTGGGATCGTTCGGCAAAAGTTATTTCCTTAATGTAGCCCATATTAGTCGCCGCTCAGTCTAGGTTAGTTTTGACCCCTCTCAGTGGACTTTACGGCCAATCGTCACTAGCGCTCGTTTTCTATTGCCCTAAGGCAGGAACCTGCCAAATTTGAAGCGCCTGATCTCTTTGCTATATATATATATATATATATATATATATATATATATATATATATATAATATAGATATATATATATATATATATATATATATATATATATATATAAAATGTAGGTCTGAAATAGTTTAGTATGTATAAAAACTTCGTGATAGAGTCTAGATCTAGAGTCTAGGCTGACTTAAATCTAGTTTTTACGTAGCTCCAAATCTAGATCTGTATCTAAATCAAGATCTAGAATCTGCAGCTGCCTTAAGTCTAGTTTTTCGTAGCTCTAGAGCTCGATCTAGATTTCAAATTAATAAAGTAAATTTTATAAGTTTAGGCCGAGAAAATTGTATACCTTTCACAGCGTACGTCTTGATAAGTAGATTTAAATCAAATTTGAATGAAATAGTTCATTTCTTTATATTCTAAAATTGTAAGATGACGCCTTTAGTTTGTGTTATTTCCTTAGTTTAAACATGTGTCTTGTGACGTCATTGTTTATTGCGTTCTGTCACGACAATAGTAATTTTAAAAGAAAGTGATATTTCAACGCCAACGGTAGACAAAGGTACAGATTATAGTCCAAGTTGAGACCGAACTGTCAAATCCAAAGGGATCTAAACCTACCCCTCCACGCGACACCAAATCACCTTGTCTTTCATGCATCAAAATCAAACGTGTAAAACACGACAATACACTCTTTAGTTAGAAATGTGTTTCTACATTTGAATATGCCTTTTTATATTTTCCTTCTTGAAAAAAAATTATTTTATACATTTATAATATGCACCATATTATTTTCAACAAAAGTCCGTATTTCTACCTTTTTTATATATCGCTGAATATACTGACGACTTTGTAACAAAATAGAGAGAGAGAGAGAGAGAGATAGAAAGAGATAAGTTTGCATATGGGCTTTTATATATTAGGATAAAATATCATATATTTAGTTATTTAATACATTTTAAGTATATTGTTATAAAAGAAAAGGTTTTATTATGTAGACATAATCAGAACGTGATTCACACAGCACTAGGCGTAACTAGATTGAACTGGATTGGATTTATGTCTAAAATATGCGCGCGACATTGTGTTCCTTTGATCAAACCATATGTCAGTTATAGGTGTAGTAGCTTTGACTTCATCAATGTTTGAGAATGTGTTCTTTTTCTCATAGAAGTTTCAGTTAGAATTTTTTGCTATTTAATTTATAACCTCTATTCAACAAAGTACACTCATGGTATAAAATAATCTGTATATGGAAAACATTAAATTAGTGTTTTGATTATATTGCCTAATATTATCCCTAGATATGTATGGCAAGCACGTATGAAATCGCTGAAAAAATTGGCGCCTCAAAATGCTATCTTTAATATTGTATCTTATAAGTTACTTATAACCAAAAGTAAAATTATATTTACTTTGCGTATTTCAAAATATAAGCAGATTCAACAAACAATACAACATGGTGTGTTTACGCATTCACTGTTGATAGTAAGGTAAAAGAAACATGCTTACAATTATTGCATACAAACAATTACATATTCAATCTTGTTCAATAGGCGATAATTTATGTAACAGTATTTTTTTAACATTACAGGTCAATCAGTTGTTTTTTAAAAATGTCAGCTTCTGTTCTCAATAAACAGGTAATACAAATTAATTTTTTGAAAACGGTCGTTAAGATGAACGTTGTATTTGAATGTAAATCATAGCATTTTAAGTGTAAAAAAGATTATTTTCGAAATTGCATTTCGCAAACAGTTTTTATAGCTTTAAATGTAAAGTTATATGTTACTTTTTTGTATGAGGATCCAACAAAATAATTAATTTTTAATCGGCTGAGTTAAAAACATCTTCAATAGGAAACGTTTTTGCAAAATTCAACAACTTTTTTAATGGCACAAAGATTATCAGTTATTTAAAGTTATTTATTTGCTTTACAATTTTTTATCACTGCAAATAATAAAAGAAACAAACGTTATTATTGTAAACTTTATCTCTAAAGAAAAGTGTATAGCTTATTTATTGTATTAAATTTTCAATAACAATCTAGAGTAAGGAGTACTTTTTACATGCACGTATTGAACCATTGCATTATTAGTGAAGTTCCTTTTCAAACCTGACACTCTATGGGGCAAGTGTAATAGAGTTCTTATGATAATATAAACATAACTATAAACATAACTATGAACATATCAATAACCATAACATAACTATATACATAACTATAAAATCAACTATAACCATAACTATAAACCTAACTATAAACATACATGTAAACGTAACTATAAAAATATACGTAAACGCAAACGTAAACACAAACGTAAACATAAATGTAAACACAAACATAATGTAAACATAAACACAAACACAAACACAACACAAACACAAACGTAAACGCAAACGCAAACGTAAACGTAAACGTAAACGTAAACGTAAACGTAAACGTAAATGTAAACGTAAACGTAAACGTAAACGTAAACGTAAATGTAAATGTAAATGTAAACGTGAACGTGAACGTGAACGTGAACGTGAACGTGAAGGTATACGTGAACGTGAACGTGAACGTGAACGTGAACGTGAAGGTATACGTGAACGTAAACGTAAACGTAAACGTAAACGTAAACGTAAACGTAAACGTAAACGTAAACGTAAACGTAAGCGTTGGCGAGGGTGTAGACATAGACGTAGACGTACACATACACGTACACGTACACGTACACGTACACGTACACGTACACGTACACGTACACGTACACGTACACGTACACGTACACGTACACGTACACGTACACGTACACGTACACGTACACGTACACGTACACGCACACGCACACGCACACGTACACGAACACGTTAAGAACACGAACATGAACATGAACATTTAATAAAGAAACCATGAAAATGCATAATATTTTACGGTGCGATTCATTTTATTAAATGATAATTAATCGTTTTTTTTAGATAAGATTTTTTTTTCTGATACAAATATAGTTGCAAGTTTTAAAAATTAAATATTTTTTTTCCTACTTTTAGACACCAAGCTTTGAAGAACTGCTCGACTTTGTTTCTGATATAATGTCTGAGTTTACAAGCATGAGGGTCTTCGACGCTTTACATTTCTTCATCTACCAGAGATGTTTATCGACAATTAGCTCTACTCTAAACAAGGGAGATCGACTGAAGTTTTTCTCTTCTCTTTTACAACTTAACTATATTGGTAATTAACTTTAGAATTTGCAGTATTTAGAGACATGTATGTTCTAGCAATAGAAATACGTGTTTAAAGAGTTAGTTCTAACAACATATGACGTCATTTTATTGTTTTTAAGAGAACTGCTAAATGTAAAAAACTGAATGTTATGTGCACTCATAGTTTCCTATTAGATGTTACGAGCGTGGACATTTGGTTATTATTGTAAATAAATTATGTATGACCCTGGCACTGGTATCTATCCTTTTAAACTGGTCAATTAGTATCCACTTGAGTAATTAAAATCAAGCAAATGGTTACAAATTATTTATCGTATTTTCCAGTTGCATTTTTATCGTATTTACGCCAGATGTTAATTTACTTGTAATGTCATGTATTTAAAAAAAACAGCTAATTTTGTACTTTATGTTTTACTGTGTGATAAGTTCATAATCTGCGTGGCCGTTCATGAGATATGTAGATTACAGCGACATTTGACTGTTGGAAATTATTGATGGATTTTCATTTCAGACGAGACGATGAAATACTTACAAGATGAAAACTTTCTCGATACAACAGCACCAGGTTTTACAACGCCTTTAGTCCGTGATATGTTGAGTCTTTTGTGCGATGGTAGTCATTACTCTTCAGATTTCGCTATGGTAATGGTTATTTTATGTTATATTAAAGTATCATAATTGAATAAAGAAAGACCGACACGATTAGAATAAATGAAAGAAAATAATAAAAATATATTTTCAAACATGCAAATTAAGCCAGTGTATAGTTATGTAATACATGTCTATGTATTTAGCGCTTGACCGAGTTGAACATCCTAAATATATTCACTGACTTTCTTCAATCAATCCAATATGTTCAGGTAAGATCATTCTACATGTACTTTTCTCTCGTTTATAGAATTTCTTTTTGGTACATAGGCCTACATTATACACACACACACACACACACACATACACACACACACATATATATATATATATATATATATATATATATATATATATATATATATATATATATATATCATAGTTGAATAGTGTATTATTGAAATATAATTAATTGAAATACTAATAACAATACATTTTGTTTTCAGAATGCAAATACCCGATTTATTACAAAAATCGTAATCCTTACTCTACACAACATAGCACGGAGGGAAGGTGCTAAAAAATATTTTACTAGTAGCAACACAACCGAAGTAAGTTCATTTTAACATATGGCTTGATATTTTTACAGTAAAATACAAAATTTAAAGTTTTAATTTTTGTTTATGTTTGGGAACTGTGATAACCAAGATTCTGTACAACCTAGAAAAAGGTAAAATCATAACAAAAATTATTAAAATGAGATAACCTGATTAGCCAGCCGTTAACTCTATGTAATTAATCCATTTGATTTACATGCGCGTTTTTGACGCTTTGATCGAATAAAAACAGCTGTATCAATTTTAAGGTTTAATATGTAATAAACAAATCAAATAATGAAAGTTGTTCTTTTCTTATTCTTAATCCTCATCACTCCCTGTGGAGTATAGGGTAACAACAAATCTCCGCCATTCCACCCTGTCCTGGGCGAGCCACTTTAGTTCATGCCAGGTCTTGCCAGTAGCCTGCACTTCTTCTTCCATCTCTCTCCTCCATGTTCCCAGTGGTCTTCCTCTCTTTCGCTTTCCAGGCGGAGTCCACTTCAGCGTCATATTGCGGAGTTTTCTCATGCGTAGGACATGGCCCAGATATCTCCATCTCCTCACTCGAACTTCTGAAACAATGTCGTTTAATCCTGTCCTTCGCCATATTGCCTTGTTCGAGACTTTGTGGTCCCACTTTATTTTGAGGATGCGTTGGAGGGATCTTTTTTTCAAATCCTTTGAGTCGGCTCTCTCGTTCTTGTTTAGTTTCCATGACTCTGCAGCATAGAGGAGTAGGCCTACAGAACGTATATTAGACTTGTAAATCCTTATTTTAGTTCACTGCTGCAGCGACGATGATTTCCAGATCTTAGCGAGTCTGTTGAAAGCTTGTGCTGCCATTGCTATTTTGGTGGCCATTTCTTTCTCCATGCTGCCATTTGCTGATATATAGCTGCCGAGGTACATACATTCGACCTCTTCTAGCTCTGCTCCATTTGCAAAGGTCTTGAGAGCACTTATGGATTTTATTTTTATTAGCTTGGTTTTTCAGGAGTTTATCTTTAGCCCAACGCTTTTAGCAACATGCTCTATTTTTGTGGTTTTTGCTTGGATTTCGTTTTGGGCATGTGAGAGTAAAGCCAAGTCATCAGCAAAGTCACAGTCCTCTAGGTGGTTGGTAAGTTCCCAAACAATTCCTCTTGGCTTATCCTCAGTGGCTCTTCTGATAATCCAGTCTATTACCACCAGAAAGATGACAGGTGAGATAACACAGCCCTGTCTGACTCCTCTTTTTACCTTGAACCATTCACTTTGCTGATTTTCATGTCGCATATAGCTCTAGTATCTTCCATAATGATGGATGGTGGATGTTATCAAATGCTTTCTCGAAATCTATGGTAGTTGATGTAGAGAGACGAATTTCACTCCAGATACTGTTCCACTACACTGCGCAAGACAAATATTTTGTAACAAGTTATCAATATATGTTTGTCTAGTATGTTGATAGTTGATTTTATCTTAAAATTTGAATAATATGGATCTAATGATTTTTTTTTGCCTACACTGCCCTTGGTAATATTACTTTTCATGTTTTCTCTAATTCATTTTGCCAATTATAAAACTTATACTTTATGCAAATACCAAATCCTATATTACGTGTTTTTCTTAATAAGAATCAATATGCATATTTGTTGTTATTTTTTATTCTTACGAGATTGACTTTTATAAATGTTAGAAAAACACATTGTTTCCTGGGGGACGAAATACAAAGAATGGGTCGTTATTCTCCATCTTCATGTGTCATATTCAAACATTTTATGGCACAAGACGCCAGCAGTCTAACAGTTCTTGAGTGAAGATGTATGTGGTCGACGGTTGGTCTAAATATCGATGATTACATTACACAACATTGGTCTATTTTAAATAAGAATGTCATCTATGGCATGATTTTCTACAAACAAAAATCATAAATGTCATCCACTGACCTATTTATGTTCAGACAGAAGTCAAACAAAGATTTGTTCTGCCCCCACAGTGTTTTAATTTTGTAATGGATGACACAAACTACAGACAAAGCAAGATACATCAAATAAACACAAACTACTAGCATAGAGAACCTGGCTTTTGCAGATTACATAAATCTACTAGCCAGTAGTCAAAAAAATACGCAAGAAAAACGAAATAGCTATTTATTTTTTCTAATTTATTTGGACTCAAATTACTCAATAGAAAAAACAAAGTTATGAAGCAAAATACATTTTGTCAACAACCTGTTAAAATAAACAGATCACAAGTAACGGGAATAAACAATTTCATACATTTAGACAGCATTGACTATTAAGAAAGAGACTGCTCCGATGAAAGTAAAACATGTATTTCTACAGCCAAGCATGACTATGCAACCATAAAACGTGAAGATCGATTTGAATATCCTAGAAGATGGAATGAAAACTTTTTCAAAAGTAATGTCCTTTGCATCTTACTGTGAGGCAGCAAATGCTGGAAGGTAAAATAACAGCTACCAGCAGATCACTTGACTCTTTCCAAACTAAGAGCTTGGGAAGGATAAAAAGCATTCGCTAGCTTAACTTCTAAGCTATATGGAAATATAAGCAGTTTCTGAAGTAATAAAACAAAAGATGACGCTGGATGGAGTACGTCGTGCGAATAAATCCAGGTGATTTAACAGAAATTGCGCTAAACTGGACGCACTAAGGAAGTGGGGAAGGCCAAGGGAGAAGTGAAGGTACACGTGAAAAAGCAGCGGACAGAAGCAGGTCTGTGTTGGGGGACTACCAGGAAAATTTCCGGAGACCGACAAAAGTAGAGGGAGCTTTCTGATACGGCCCAATGTGTCTTGGGTACATAAAAGAAAAGATAATAATATGAAATATGTGTATCAAATATCAACTTCGATTTGTCGCTTGCTACGTTTACAATAAATGTAAAATGAATAAATATTGTTAATATTATATTTCATTAGGCTGTACTGAGCACAAAATCCATGGGCAAAAAGACTTGGTTTATATCACAGCTTCTACTTCTGCTAATCGAGGCAGGCTTTATTGCAGAAAAATGGGTATTAGGTAATTGGTTTTCATATTTTTGCACTGCATTTTATTTTCTTTCATTTAATAAATTTCAATTTACAGTTAAATCTTTTAAACTAATATTGTAAAGTATACATTTATAATATCATAACACCTTTTTTGAATAAAAAAAATTAAACTTTTCTCGCCCTACGTGCTCGAAAAATTTAGTACCACACACTTTAATTTAAAAATAGCAACTCTGTTTAAAATAATCTATCTTTCAAATTTGCTAAATCGTTTACGCTTGGCTTACTGCCTAGCTTTAAACACACACACACACACACACACACACACACACATATATATATATATATATATATATATATATATATATATATATTTAATTTATATATATATATATATATATTTGTATATATATATATATATATATATATATATATATATATATATATATATATATATATATATATATATTATATATATATATATATATATACTAGGCATACTGCCTAGCTTCGCTTAGGTTTTCAAAAAAAATTGAGGAATTGAATGATAATTTAACAGGTGATTGGCTGCTATGTTAAATGCTTAGAGCCTAAAATTATACAGTGGAGTAATTTAATGCTACTGTAATATTGATGGAATATTCGCAAACTTATTACTCGCACGGTAATTAGAACTGCAAGGGATTTCTTAATAGTATTAATCAAATATTATAATAAATTTCTTTAGCAATAAATCATTACATTTCAGTACAATGCAAAACTTAATTTATAACAAAATATTTATTTAAAACAATGCTATACTTTATGATTTTTGTTTTTTTTCTTGAAAAGAGTATACAGAATAATTAAACATTATTACATTAAAAATTTACCTCCCCTGTTCATAGACCAAATGACAAAATGCAAAAAATCTAGCCAGATGTAAAGAGGGTAAGTGCCCTAAAATCCGTTTTGAAATCACCCTCTGTTTTTCCATAAAATACAAAGATTATATAGGGAAATACGACTGGTCAGTTTTGACCCATTTAACGAATTTTCCCGGACATGGAGAGTTTTTTTGTGACAACCCAATGCGTTCTCCTACCACCTCACAAAATTTCAAGGGGGGTCGTCGGAGGAAATTTTTTTTCGTAATGTAGCCCATATAAGGCGCCGGTCAGTCGAGGTCAGTTTTGACCCCATCTCCGTAGACGTTTCGGCCAACCGTCACCGGCCCTCGTGTTCTATCGCCCCAAGGCACCATCGTGCAAAATTTGACGCGCCAGCGGCGCCGGGAAGTGCCCTATAGGGCACTTGACCTCTTTGCTATATATATATATATATATATATATATATATATATATATATATATATATATATATATATATATATATATATATATATATATATATAGTTTTGATTTTTAAAGTAGGCCTACATGCTATATTGACGGAGAAACCGTTTAAAAATTGAAATTTTCATTACCAATCAAATTATAAAAATAATTTAATCATGTTGCAATAATTACTATTTATCAAAGAGATTTTTTTTAATATGTAAGAGTTTCTACAATGTGAAATACAGTCCTGTTCCAAATTCCCTACACATTTGAAGGACATTTTTTTTTACAATAGAATACAACCATTATACATTTTAAATAGAGATGGAAAGTATATTATATAGTTTTTGCGCCAATAGTATGTGCACTAACTTTTCAAAATTACATACCAAGAATGGATAATGTAGCGAAATCGTATTTCATTCAGTTGGTTTAATTTATGTGCTTTAACTTACATTGTACTAAAACTAAGATTATAATAATCGCAATCAATTAATATTTACTAATAAATGATTACAATGTTTTTGAAAGCTAAAAAATACCAACAATGTTATATACGTTAGCCATATCATGGTGTCTAAAAGCGAAAATTAGGTTCAAACGTCTAGTTATCTTCCAATCATATATCCATCAAAGTGAATAACATTTATTCAATAACACTTTTGGAAATAACTAAAGCTATGACTGGTACATCTAATTATACTCTCATAATGAAGAATATTCTTACTTTACATCTAAAATATAATGTAAATAAATATAAATAATTAATTTTATGTTCAATGTTTATTTATTAAGACATTTTAAATATATATATATTTATATATATATATATATATATATATATATATATATATATATATATATATATATATATATATATATATATATATATATATATATGTATATATGATTTTAAAGACAAATGATCTTTAAAAAAATTATCTCACGAACAAAATATATATCATGATATATTATAGTCATTATGATATTATAGTCAAAAAATAATTTGCCATAAAACCATTATATATATATATATATATATATATATATATATATATATATATATATATATATATATATATATATATATATATTTGATTATATTGTGTAGAGCAGCTATGTTATCCTCCTATACATCTGTCAGGGTTGTAGGGGAACCGTGATATTCTCTTCGACAATACCATGTCATCTATCTGGTGCTCTGATGCCCTCAATAAGTCCGCAAAAGACGATCCGGTGCAGTCCCATACAACTTCTAAAATAATCAAAGTAGCATTTAGCGTTGGGCAATACGCACCAGTGGGAAACTCGTACAACCCTAATTTCACTTAACTAGACCTGTAGCAAATCTAAGAAACGCGCTGAATTATTTTTAGATGAAGCAATCGGTGTGATGTCAAAACAATAGTGAAATACATCGTACACAAGAAATGGTAAGTCAGAGTGTTTTGTGTTTAGTCACTGTTCAATGTAATATTTAGACTGATTTTCTAGCTGTGCCAGGCTGCAGAAGATACGTGCAAATTGGTTTTTTTTTCTAAGGTGCCGACAAATCAAAGCTTTTACATTATTAAATACATTTTGTTTTGATTTTCCTGGCTGGTAAAAAATTATGTGTTGATCGAATTAATTTGATAAATTGTTACATGATAAGGCAGGTACAAGGTACGGTGCGAATTTTATAAGCTTCTAACTTTGTAACAAAAATATTAAACTACCTGCTTTATTTCCTCAGATATCTGCAACACTACCTGAGACACTGATTCTGACGAAGACTAATTATATTTCAGGAAAACAATTTTCATCCGTGCTTATGCATTTCAAGGATAAAGGAATTATAAGAAGAAGAAACAAGTTTTGAGATATAAACATCTAGATCCTAAAAACATATGCACATATAGCAGTAGAATTAATAAATTGTCAAGCTAACCAAATTATCAAATAACGAAATCGACAAGCAATTTAAGTTCAAGTATAGAAAATAATTCAAGCAATCATGTAGCAAGTCTAAAAAGAGCAAACCACTGCTTCATGTGTGATGAAGGCATTATACAGATATGATTCAATGTTTAACTTGTAATTGTTGTGTACTAGTCTCATACTCAGTGGATAAAAATGGTTTGAATAATACTTATATATGCGTATTATGTCAATACATGCACGTGATAGAAATCTAAAATAAATTAGTTTATTTTTATAGCAACGTATTTTTAGTACAAAAGTATTTTCTATCGCATTGTGGTACTTATTTGGCCAACTAATGGTATAATTTTTTGTTTTGTATTAATACGCCTCTATTTTCAATCATTATGCGTTGATATAGTAAATGCTTTTGGGTTACAATAAAGTTTAATTTAAAGAAAAAAAAAACATTTTCTTCAGACTTGACGTTTTGTTTTTTAAATTATGTTTTAAAGGGGTACTAAAAACCAAATTTCCCTCTTGTAAATAAATGTTATATAATGAGTAGGCCTATATACGATACAGCAACCATGGCTGCACATACAGTGTTGTCAGTAATACATTTTGAGTATTGCTTGTTATTTTTACTGTTGTTATTAAGTAATGTACTCGTATGTTGTTCAGGTTCATTTAGTCGATAACATTATTTACCAGTAGTATAGTATCCTATTACCAGTAGTATAGTATCCTATTACAAATTTAGTTTTAGTAATAGTATGCTACAATTTCTATTGTTTTACTTTAGTAAACTTTAAGACTAGATCTGTGTATTACAAATTTCACATAATAAAAACATGTTTTAATTATCTTTAAAAAAAATGTATAGATCAGAATATATATCCCTATACGCTCCCTTCCTTTTCTAAATATTTATGATAGATCATTTAATATTTACTTTATTTAGATTCTAATTGTAATGGAAGAAACTTCTGTAAATGTTTATTGAAATTCAGTACAATTTTAAAATTTAAAAAATACATATATTTATACAGCCAACATTATTGTCGAATCAAAGTAAATAAAGCGACCATATGAATACAATTAAAACAAACATGTCGGTGTGTGTAATTTTGATGTGCGGAATTTTTCAGAAAAGTTACTTCTTGCGGTAAAAGGGGAGGATAAGGAACTATCTGAATGGCAATATTCTGAGCTGCTTCAAGGACTGAGTAAATTTACAGAGCAAGATCAATACTTGAACCAGGTTGGTTTATTATTTAGGGTATTAGCGAATACTTCACATAACATTGTGTAATATGTCAATTATTGTAGAACGTCAGAGTTATTTGTTTCTATTAACAAAATGTATATTGGTTGAACACTTTAATATGCTGTCTGAGAAAAATATACTAAGTTTTTTTTCCTTACGTCCGTGTATCTAAAACACATTGTGTGTGTTTTTTTTTAACTAAACAGATCATACCATGCCTTCCAGACCTCAAAGAGATTCTCAAACATGACGATATAGAAGAACATATTTTTACTACAAAATGTTTTAAAGACTTGAGTAGAAATCCGGAGGCGTGTAAAAAAATGATAGGAGATGAAACATTAATTAGTGATTTGTTCAATAAATCATTAAGCATGGATAACAGGAGTATTTCAGCAAATGTACATTCTATACGATGGAGAACGGGACGTGCAACAGGAAGATTACCACCCAAAGCAGGTGAGAGTTGGCGATGTATGAAAAAACAGTTTTAATTTTGATTTAGTACTGTATAAATAATACAGTTCTACTATTGATAACTAAAAACAACCTCTTGCACAAGTAAATATTACTTCTTTGGTTACATGACATTATATAATAATGTTATACTTTTATCTACAGAATTCCTAGTGTCTGACGAGTTTCCGACAGAATTTAAAATTATTCCGACACCGTTAGCACAGGGAGGTTTTGGTAGCGTCCACTTTGTCATCGATATCAACCAGCCTGATGATGTACAATTTGTTGCAAAGAAAACGTTGCGAAAACTAAGTGGCACAGACAAATGTATGGTAAATATCACAGTGTATCAAAATAAATTTGAATCAGAAAAAAAACGTTGGCCTAGTTGTAATTTCAAGAATAACATTTTAAAAGCTGTTGGCAGCTCAAGTGTTCAAAGTTAAAATAAAAAACACAAAAATTTGATTATTCAACTAGATCGCCTTTCCACGGTGGGATATCGTTACTACTTAGTATCAAACACCTAATGTATATCACACATTAATGTAAACACTGTTTATATGTGTTGCGACTGTGTGAGAGGTTTGAGCCATTTGATTCAACACCATATATATATCACTACCTTATGATGAGATTGAGATGACAACCTTATGCAATCATTGTGCCATTTCACATCCTTGGACGACCAAGTGACAACTTATATTTAAGACGAACAGATGATTCTCCTTCTTCTAATTTATTATGGTATTGGACTCAAAATCTTCATCTGCATTAACATCTCTAGAATCAATCTCCCAACTTGAGTCACCGGGTCAGCATACGCCCTTTCACCACGATGATCAAGATAAGACTAACTCACACACGCACAGCAACCAAGTTTCTACCCAAAAACGTCACTATCTTTCAATCCGTGTCATCCTTCTAACACGTTCAACATACCCTTCGCACCAGCATTCACCTTGCGCCAATCTCTAGGGACAGAGTGGTCTAGCGGTAGAGTCTCGAGTTTGAATCTAATAGGTACCTAACTCAAGTTAGGGAAAGTAAATGCGGCTGGGCATAGTGCTGACCATACTATTTCTTCATACTATCTCTTCATATGCCAAGGTCACAGAAACAAGTTAATTCTACTTCACTTGACCCATAGACCGTCATGTTTGAAAAGGAAACTTTACTTACTTTAATTTACAATCTCTAGTTAAAACATGCATCATAACAATATGTTTTTTATATTGATCATTTACAACAAAATAGGTGTTATTAAGTATATTTTACAAAAAACTTACGCTATTGCTAAAATTTTAAATGTCTATTACATAACACATTTAAATTTAATCCTGGGAGTTGTATGTACACATTTATAAGAATAAAATCTTTTTATTCAGGAAACTTTTCAAAAAGAAGCGTCGATATTAATCAGTCTCAAACAGGAGAGGATTGTACAATTTCACGGATTTCAAAAAACCGAAACTGAATTATTGTTATTTTTGGAGTTTGTCAAAATGGTAAATGCATTAATTATTGCACAATATTTTTATTTAATTAGACATGCACCTCAATAACCATTCTAAAATATACGTCAAAGTTGTATGCTAAATCTGATAATACTTACGTTATTTTTTTAAGAATTACTAAAATTAATTAAAAATGCTAATATTTTAAAATTTTTCTTGCAAGAAATATTGCAATGCTTAATTAGAAAAATTATAGAAAATAATTGAGAATGTCATAGACACTATTTAATGTATCATTTAGATCGTTGTTTTTTTTTTTTAATCAAAGCTTTTAAGTGTGTGTTTAATTTTCAGCGATTGAGTTTTTTGTGTAATCTTAACATATATACGCATATTTTATTCATATGCAATACATACACTCTATAGCAGTTAATAAAGTGACTACTATGTGTTTACAAAACTTTTAGCAACAAATACACAATTACAAGGTAAACATAAATTAAACGACACCCACTATTCTACGGGCTCACTAATCATACATGTATGTCACATAGCTTATATATAAAAAAACACAATACACAGTTTAATACTACAATTTTGCTTGTTATGTGAACATTACGTCAATGATTTTGTAAGAAATTGGAAAAAAACATATTTTTTATATAAAAATTGCAATGTTAGGTTTGATCGTAATTTTCTTTAAATTAATTACATCTAATATGCATGTTTGACAATACGCTAATTCAAACACACGACAACAATATGATCAGCAACATTCTGTTAATTGTCTTGAATAATACTTTTCAAATTATATATTTTAATATTTTAATTGAATTTGAACATAATTTAACATTTTTCCTAGGGTACACTTACTGCCTTTGTTAAACAACACACAAGACTAAATGAAGCTTTGACAAGACAGTTTACAATTCAAATTCTTGAAGGCGTTAAATACTTGCATGAAAATAAAATTGTGCATTTAGACATTAAAGGTAAGACACATACATATGAGTATTTACGCTTTGATTGTTTCTGAGTGCGACTGCATGTGCATTACTGGCATTAACGACAAAAATGTATGTGCCCTGTCATTTAAAGATCAAATATTAATATCAACAAAAAGGCCAACTTATTAATTCAGGCTCATCCTTCTTCATATGCAATAACTCTAAAATGATGTAATCATTTCAATTTAACTGGCTACAAATTAACTTTGTGTAAATTTATGCAGCTTTTTACTGTCTCGTATATTCGAAGTATAGAGAAAGTATTGTAATCTTGCACAAAAATAACTTGAAATTTTGACAGTTTTCACTGTTTTACTCCTCAGTCCTTCATCACATCCGGAGTATAGAGGACTTATTTTAATCAGGCAAAAATTATAAATACAAATATATAAACGTTTTGGCGTTTTATGCGTTATTAGAAAAATGGTTAGTGAGGATTGCAGAAATATCATTTACTTAACCCTTTGAGCCCTGGCCTCCCTGGCCTAATTTCTCCTATTTCCTGAGCTCCCAGGGCCAAACCAATTTTCACTTATCTGCTTCTAACTTTGCCTATAACTTTTGAACCGTTTGAGATAATCAGACCAAATTTGGTATCCAGACTCAGGATCAAACAACAATTCAGCAAGATTCTGAAATTCTTAATTTTTTTACAATGTATGAACAGAACAATGTATATAAAACGAACACGTAATTATTGTTTTGATAGAACATAGAAGAAACTAATTTACAATTAGTAATTGCTTTGTTATTATTGATACCTGGCCATACTAGTTCATCGCCAGAAGTCCACTTTTATGTGATAACTTTCAAAACAGTTATCACTGCCGGACCCAATGCAAAGAAAAACTTTGCATGTTTTGCACCAGTAAACAGTTTTTTTTTTCGTTTCGGCAAGTCTTTGTCTTTGGCACCACGTGCATCAGAAGTTACTTGAACAGTTTCATTGTCACTGTCAATTTCAATGTCCTTGAGTTCAGTATCAAATTCAACGTCACTATCATCATAATATAGCCCAGGAATATTATCTTCTTCATCAGAATCAATAAGTAGTTGTATTGCCTGAGATTCAGTCATTCTACTTCTTTTGTTGATATTTCGGTCTTTTGCTTCATCTTTTGCACCAACTTTATGTGATGAAGTCGACGGCTGTGGCTCAGCTTTTCGTTTCGGCGGCATTGCTACGAAATGTAAACACTTTCACTTTTCCTAAAATCTATGTTTAGAATCATAATCACGCACTAAAAATACATATGCGCAGTTTTAGTCAGTCTTCCGCTAATTATATTTAATTAGATGGTATGACGGCCGCTAGGAATATGACGCTAGATCATCGGGCCGGAAAACCGGCTTTTCGGACATATATGCCTAATGTTGAAGCCGGTTTACCGGCCTGGCGGGCTCAAAGGGTTAAGATATCGTAGATGTAAAATGTAATATAAAAGTGCATCGGTAAATATATATATATATATATATATATATATATATATATATATATATATATATATATATATATATATATATATATATATATATATATATATATATATATATATATATATATATATATATATATATATATATATACAACTGGTGTGATAACTCAAAATTATATATTTAAATTTAAAGTAAATTCCTTCGTACATTAAAATGCAGTATAAAAAAAGAACCTGAATTCCAGCTTGAAGCCTTAAACTCATTCTAATGTAATTTTTTTTTATAACTTTATGTTTTAAAATTACTGTATTTTACAATTAAAATATCCTCTAAGTATATTATTACGCAAACTAAAAAAATTCAGTTTAATAAAACGAATTATTAAAACCTAACGTCAATTGACCAGACATTCACATATAAAGTTTTGTCAGAAAGTTAAACTAGGGCACTAATACACAATGCATAGCCGTCATCTAAATGTACATCAACACTCTCAGACGATATAGACGCTAATACAACTAAATTAAACTCTAATTTAAACTCAGTCGTAACATAGATATTAATGTCAATACAAAGAAACTTTGTTGTTTGTTTATTTTTTAGCAATATAAGGTTAATTAGACTTTGTTTATACTGATTAAGATTAACTCTACATAAATCATCATTTCATCTTAACTGATATACGCCATAATTAACTTAAAGTGTCGATGTTAAAAACATTTTCAGCCTCCCTATTCTTAGTAAATCTACTTCACTATATTTATGTTTTAAAATTACTGTATTTTACAATTAAAATATCCTCTAAGTATATTATTACGCAAACTAAAAAAATTCAGTTTAATAAAACGAATTATTAAAACCTAACGTCAATTGACCAGACATTCACATATAAAGTTTTGTCAGAAAGTTAAACTAGGGCACTAATACACAATGCATAGCCGTCATCTAAATGTACATCAACACTCTCAGACGATATAGACGCTAATACAACTAAATTAAACTCTAATTTAAACTCAGTCGTAACATAGATATTAATGTCAATACAAAGAAACTTTGTTGTTTGTTTATTTTTTAGCAATATAAGGTTAATTAGACTTTGCTTATACTGATTAAGATTAACTCTACATAAATCATCATTTCATCTTAACTGATATACGCCATAATTAACTTAAAGTGTCGATGTTAAAAACATTTTCAGCCTCCCTATTCTTAGTAAATCTACTTCACTATATTTTCCAAAATGCTTTGCTTATAAATACTTATAAACATAAGTAATAGTTCTAATAAGTAAATGTTAAAAATTAAAAAAAAATACCTTCGCTTTCTGAGCAGTGTATTAACACTTTCCACTTTTCCCAAACTGTAATTACAGTTGTTAAATATTTAAATGTTTTGTCGCCATTAGATGAATAGCGCATCAAAATAACCAACCGCAATGTATAGACTTTGTGTGGGATTAAGGATATTTACCCTCAGTTTTATCCCCAACTCAAATTTTTTGCACATGAGTAAAACAAATGAACATATTATTTGGTTCAACTCGTCACAGAAAGTCGATTAATTGATAATGGCACTTTGGCCAAGATAGTAGTCGGTTTTTAAAGCGAATAATTGAAACTTACTTAACACTTTACTGATAATAGTATTTAAAGACATCTGTACATAACTGGGATACTTTTTTGCGTATAAACTATAGCCACTTTTATATTTACATCATATTGTCTAGTTGTCTTGCTAATTTTTGAAAGGATTGTAGATCTTAATAAATCGAATATTGAAAGATGAAGCGAAAAGTAAATGACGCAATCGCTATATATTTTAAAACTTTGACATATGTTTTTATTAACAGTAGCATTAGCACTAATACTAGCCTACCAATCACCAATACTATTATTTAAACGTAACTGTTTCTCACGAATTAAAAACTTAACGTAAAAGTCTTATTGGTTACCCATAATAACATAAATGTAAACATACGAAAAAACATATCTTAATATACAAGCAAATTTAACGAATAGTTTAAAACTATTTATTGTTCCGTTAAACGTAGAATTTAGTCCTAAAGGGTCGTCTTTAAATGACGTCTATATTTTATAAACCATTTTGCCGCGTTTCCTTCCATTGTAACTCTTGGTCAGAAAATATCGAGCTATCCCATTTAAAACGTTCCGAAAATAACATCACTCTGCACCATACAATATCCCATATACCCTATTCCAATTTGCGTTTTATGAAACTACGATTTATTTTTAAAGTATTTTATATGCTAGAAATACACATATTTTCACCAGGCAACAATATTCTGATGGCTGATGAAGCAAACATAAAACTAACAGACTTTGGCTTGTCGACAATACTAAACGAGGAAGAAGGAGTTGAAGCAGAAAAGGGCACAACTCGATACATGGCCCCAGAGATGATTAACTGCCCTGAAGGGAGAATATTTAAATATGAAATTAGCCTGGACATATGGTGAGAAAATAAATCTTTTAAATTGTATTGTAATTTTTGTGCATAAACGCATTGTTAATACTTATAAAAACACTTTCTTTAATTCAAGCAATAATATGTGGATATTTTTCGTTTTACAGTGTGAAATAATCAAAATCGGAATTTTTTTTTCACGATTTGAAATTAAAATAAAAATTTTAAACAATTGCATTGTATAACGTTGAGGAATACTTATTTTTAATTTGTCAACTATTAATATCATTTTACATTATTGGGTATCGGTTAAACAATTTACCTGCTTATATTTGTCACTGTTTTAACATATATTTTAACTTGAAATTTACCAGGAGTGTAGGAAGCACTGTTGTAGAGATGGTAACAGGCGTACCACCAAACTCAACTACTGCATCGGTCAATGTAATATTTAAAAGAGCGAATCTTGAGAAACCTAAATACAATCTACCAGTAGAATCATCCATTTATTTGCAACAGTTTCTAGAAAAAACATTTAGACTTGAAGCAGCAGAAAGACCGTCTGCAGAAACTTTGCTGAAGGAAGACGCGTTTGTGACTGGTTGCATATAATTCACTGTTTACATTGGGTATAACATCAGTGTAATTATAATTTTTGTTTGGATGAACTATTTTTGCCTATTTAATTACAATTTTAATTAATCTTCTATCATTTAACGAATCTGTTATGTATTCAACTGCAGTTTTCTTTTATTTAGATTTTATTTAATACAGTTTTTCCATTACAATTGCAAAACGTATAAGTTTAAATGACTGAGATAAACCTATTTTTATTAAAGACTTGTTAAAACACAGCTGTATTCACATTTCAATATATAGGCTACACTAGTATTTTTTAAACAATTAATTCCTTTATTTCTTGTCGGTTACTATAATTTTTGATTCAACGAACCTAAATATACAATAGGCCTACTATTCCAGTCGTTGTATCAATATCTTAAACATTAAAAACAAACAACTATATAGGGGTCTTCCATAAATGATGGCACACGTGTATGTGGGATGGGGGTCCGTAGTTTTGTGACGGTGTGAGATTAGGGTGCGCGGAGGTTCAGATGGTTTGGCGTCGCACCAACAGAGTTTAGACAAGATTTTGGAAAAAAAATATCGATGTTTTAAATTAAGAAATATTAAACTGCAAGTTTGAGAGGGGGGGGGGGATGATTGTAGAGTCCAAAAAACGTGACGTCATTTATGTATGACACCATAGGCATACTGTACTTGTAACATGTTCGTGGATTTTTTTTAACCAGTTAAACAACGCAAATCGGCTTATTGTGCATGATTAAACCTAGTAAAACATATTGTGTAACATTCATCTATATATATATATATATATATATATATATATA